ACCCTGTTTCTCCCTCCACCCATGCCCCCTCCCCCTCTTCACGTCCGACTCTCATGTACCTCCCCAGACGTGGGCTGTCAGGTTTTCAATCTTTCTAATGCCGCGGCTCTTTAATACAGTTCCTCATGTTGTGGTGGCTCCCCAATCATAAAATTATTTTCTTTTTTTTTTCAAATCATTTTATTAGGGGCTCATACAACTTATCACAACCCATACATACATCAATTGTGTAAAGCATATTTGTATACTCATTGCCCTTATCATTCTCAAAACATTTCCTCTCCACTTAAGCCCCCGGCATTAGGTCCTCATTTTTCCCCAACCTCCTCGCTCCCCACTCCCTCATGAGCCCTTGATAATTTATAAATTATTATTTTGTCATCTCTTGCCTTGTCCGACATCTCCCTTCACCCACTTTTCCATAAAATTATTTCATTGCTACTTCATAACTAATTTTGCTACTGTTATGACTTGGGCAACTCTGTGAAAGGGTCATTCGACCCCCAAAGGGGTCGTGAACCACAGGCTGAGAACTGCTGCTCTAAGATGCATATGGGCAGCAGGCTGCTTTCCTCCAAGCTGGCAGGCTGCCCTAGGTGCCTCTGCCCTGCTAAGCTCAGCAGTGCCCACACTGATCTTAGTGTGTCAGCTGAGGGGAGAAAACTGTGGTTCAGAGGATTCTGTCCTAGGTGAAGCTGCCAGTAAGGGCTAGTCAATGGCAGGGGCATTGAGGTGGGGGTGGGAGGTGGGATGGGGGCTGAGCACTAAACAAGGGCTTCTCCAGGGCCCATGCATCCTGACTGTGGCATGGCTGGACATGTGTCTTTCTGGGTGCCTCATCATAGCCAAGCCACTCCCAGAACACTTTGTTTAGTAGATATCTTAATCATGGGCTTGCTGGATAAAACTCTTTTTAATTTTGCTTAGAAATATTTCTGGTGGACCCAGAACAAAAATCATACCAATGTGAATTGGTGGGGGTGGGGAGGGGGTACGCGGAGTGGAAACCCAAAGCCCATCTGTAGACAGTTGGACATTCTCTTACAGAAGGGTCACAAGGAAGAGACGAGCCATTCAGGGTGCCATATAGCACCAATAACACATATAACTTTCCTCTAGTTCTTTAATGCTTCCTCACCCCAACTATCATGACCTCAATTCTACTTTACAAATCTGATCAGACCAGGAGATGTACACTGGTACAATAAGAGCTGGAAACAGGGAATCCATGACAGAAAAACTCAGGACCAATAATGAGAATAGAGATACTGGGAGAGTAAAAGGAAGGTAGGGGGAGAAAGGGCGAATCAATCACATGATCGACATATCCCCTCCTCCAAGGGGAACGAACAACAGAAAAGTGGGTGATGGGAGACAGCGGACAATGTAAGATATGAAAATAATAATAATTTATAATTTGTCAAGGGTTCATGAGGGAGGGAGGGAAAATAATGAGGAGCTGATACCAAGGGCTCAAGTGGAAAGAAAATACTTTGAAAATGAAGAAGGCAACATATGTACAAATGTGTTTGACACAATGGATGGATATATGGATTTTAAGAGCTGTTAAGTGTCCCCAATAAAATGGTTTAATACAAAAAAAAAAAAAAAGGAAAGAGAGATTTTTCAGGTGTTTGGTTTATATTATAGTTGAAATTAGGAAACATTTTTCCCCATGGCCCCCAAGTCCCACAAGTAATTCCAATAGATCCCCGAGCTTTTTGGGTCACTTTTCTGTATTAAAATTTCATCTAAAAATTTCCTGTCATGATTCCAGTGAATAATTTTTCTTTTCCAGGGTTGCAACAAATTTGGTACGGCGCCTTTGTGAGCGAGGTGAGAGAACTTGTCTAAGTGGCATGTCTTCAGCCCCTGGTGTGTGGTTTGTGGCCTGGCTTCCACTGGGTGGACCTTGCAGCTCCACTGCTGGGTGTTTCTAGGCCCTGTTTGCTCCCTTTCATTCTAGGAGTGGTGTTTTGGGGAAGTGGTTTTTTCATTTTAGGCCCTCTTCCATAGTCTCCTGGACCATGTGGTGCCATCACCCCTCAACATGTGCAAGCAGCAGAGGCCAAGGCAAGCCCAGCATTGTGGGCTGGAAACCTTGGGACCTGTGCCTCCTGTCCTGATACCTGCCCAAAGACTGCATAGGGCCAGAGGCCTAGGCTTCATTAACTAACTTTCCTAGTTGTAGGGTTGGTAAACTCATGAAGCTCCACAGCCTGTAGCCTCGTACCTGGCTAGGAGGAAAGGTATTGTAAAGGTGGTTCCTGCGTAGAGAAGTTTCCAGGGCCAGATAGGGATGAGGGAGTGGGCATCTGTGGCTCACTGCTGTGTCTGGGAGACTGGGCTCCTTAGGAAGCTGGTACCTGTGGGGGTCTAGACTGACACCCTCCCCAGAAGCCTGGGGTAGCCCAGAGCCACTGAGAATGTGGCATCTTCTGAGAGTGAGTCTTCTTGTCATGGTTTATTGCCCAATGCCACCACTCCCTGTTTTTTTTAATTTGTCTAGAAACACCGCCAGATGCCCTGATACTGGAATCTCCATTCACCAATATCCGTGAAGAAGCAAAAAGCCATCCCTTTTCAGTGGCAAGTAGAAACTTTATTAAAAATTAATTAAAACAATTACTACCCTGTCTCCCCGAAAATAAGACAGTGTCTTATATTATTTTTTGCTTCCAAAGATGCACTAGGTCTTATTTCAGGGGATGTCTTATTTTTCCATGAAGAAGAATACGATACACATTTATTGTTGAACAACAAAAAGGGAAATTTATTACCTGTATACGGTATGGTAGTAGTCGTCATTATAAACCAGCATAACCAGACAAACTGAATCCTACAGTATCAAGAATTTTTTGTTACTCCATTATTTCCATGTACAACAATCTATGGTACATTTACTCATTTATTCAATGACAGTCAAGTCATCATCTTCTGGAACATCGTCATAACAATCCAAACCCTTATTTTCGGGGAGGTCTTATTTTCAGGGGTGTGCCTTATATGTCAGCGAGAGGCAAAACTGTAAGTAGGTCTTATTTTGTGGGGGAAGTCTTATTTTTGGGAAAACGATACAGAATGTTAAAATTGTTAATATATTTAATCATTAATGAAAATTAATTATAAAATTACCGTTGAATATTCTAATAAAATGTACATTTTTATTAAATGTAGTTTAGTTATGGGCACAGGTCGAGTTACAGAGCTGCCTGCGAGAGTCTTGCCCACATCTGGGTGGGGTCCTGAGGTTCATGGGCAGCCTCTCGGGAGCGGACTGCTTGGGTTTCCCTGAGTCTTCCCAGGGCAGCTCTAGAGCATAGGCAGTTCATCTTCCTTGGTGGAGCCTGAGTAAGTCCGTGTTGAGATTCCTGACATTCATACTTTACTCTGGAGCCTCAGGCTTGTTTTTTAAAACCTGGACTCCTTAAGGTCCCGTGTTCCTAGATGCACATGGTTTCTCAGCTAACCTAGGTCCCTGGGGAGCTCTGGGTCTACCCACCTGTCCTGAGCTCATCCTGGTCTGTCTCGGGCCAGAAGAATATTTTGTTGGGAATACCTGGCTCCCATTTTCTCAGGTGAAGCAGGACTAATGTCTGCTGGAAGTCTGATTTATTGGTTGCAGCTTTGAGGCAGATCACCCTCTGCAGCAGTTGGGGCTCTAGGCCTAGAGGGGTGAGCCCTGTGGCCCCAGTCGCAAAGCCCATCTGGAACCCTCTTGAAGAAAGCTATGGCTCATGAAATGCGGGGACACTCTGCAGCTGGCTCTGATGTTGAGTCCCACCTTCTCTTGCTTCATTTTTGCCCAAGTGTTTCCTTAAGACTTGGTAGTTATGGGAAAAACTTGATGAACCCTGCACTTTGACCTTTTCCTCTGTGAGAATGTTAATAAACACTCTGGAAACTCTTTTCCTATTGTCTTTAGATATATCGACACTTCCCTGGATTTGACTGGTTTTTCCTTGATCCCATTACAAGCAGTGGAATTAGATTTGCAAATGATGAGAAGTGAGTATTTGGGCCCCTCCTGAAGCTGTGATTTGGCCTATTTTTCCCACTGAGCCTAGGCAAGAGCTTGGATTACAGGCAGTGCTGTGTTCCCAAACCTTAGCCTATAACCCTCACCTTGATGCTTCTGGAACTAAGACCTCCTCTCTAGACGGCAGTAGGTTGTTGTGAAAGGCTCTGTACCTTCTCCAGAAACCTCTTGTCAGTCACAACAAAGTACAGCACGTAGGAGCTCCCCGCCATTCCGAAAGCAAGGACATGAGGAGGGTGTGACTTGACGTGGAAAGCAAGACAAGAAAGCGGTGTAATCTTATATGCAAGAGTGCTGGAAACAGGTCTAGAGTTCAAGGTGCACTCTTGAACTCAAGCACAGCAGTGGGCCAAGACCCACAGAGCAGCTGTCAGGAGACTGTCCTGCTGCCTCCTACAGCAGGGGGAAGTCCAGGCACTGCTCAGATTCCTTTCAGTTTGGGTGTCTGCTTCCTTTCTTACATAGCACCTGAAAATGATTTGAATTGATTGAATTGAATTGATTTAAAATTCTAGTTTGCTTTTAAATGTTTTGAGCTGGAGTGTTCTGAAATGTGATTTATGCCAAAAATGAAGTACAGGATATTAACTTTTTGGCCAATAGACTTACAATAACTTTCATTTGCAATAGATTTTTGATATACTTGAATTATTCATTGTACAAATGTTATTGTGTAACTTTTAACAAATCTATCTATTGATAAAAAAATAAATTTCAATTTCTAAAAAATGTACAGCATTAGATTTTGGTTAATGAATGTAGTCAGATGTAGACACCGTGAATTCTTTCCATGAGAAAGACCTGAGTTTGCTCCCCTGCCACAGACTTTATTTGTAGCCACCATCCATTAGTCTGTGTTGCTGTGATGCTGCACGGGTGTCAGCAGAGCTTCTAGACTGCGGTGGACTAGGAGAAAGACCTGTTGATCAGCTTCCAAAAACAGCCAGTGAAAACCTTATAGATCACAACTATCTAATTCTCAACTGATCATGGGGAAAATGCAAGACTGGACACACCCTGCCCAACCTGATTCACGGGCCAACTCAATGGCAACTAATAGTAACAAACACCCAGCTAAAATAGTTATTGCTAGAAATATCTCAGAAATCAACTTTTGCTTCTCTAGCAAAAAGAATCCACCAGATTTCAAGACTGTTAAGTGCCACCTCTGGGAATGTCTCCTCAAACCCCAATCAGATTGTGTGAAAATTACCCCCTCCTTCACACACACACACACACACACACACACACACACACACACTTTCCCTGGCTTACGTGTGCTGCTAGTCACCCCTTCAAGCTTCTCCTTCCTCTCCCCAACAGTGTGAAGCATATCTCCTGCTCCCTGCTTATTCTGCATGCAGAGGATGACCCAGTTGTACCCTTCCAGCTTGGCAGAAAGGTAAGTGTCCTGAGTTGCTGCTTCCTCTAGCCCAGGGAGATGTCTAGAGGCTGCAGGCCTCAGGATCAAGGACTATGGACTGAGCTCTTGGGAGAGAGTGGGCATAGTAGGCATAGAGAAAGGTCCTGTTGCTGGAAGGAGTCCTGTGTGAGGAAGAGAAAGGCAGGTGACTCGTATGTCTGCTACACCCTACCCCTTGTTGCTCTCCCGAGCGAAGAGAGCAGTAGCCTGGGAACAGGTGTGAGAGCAGACAGTACTGAGAAAATGCCCAGCTCCTGGCATTTTCCCTGCCACAACAGCCCTCTCTCTCTACCTTGGTAGCAGTGGGGATGAGGAGTATGCTGCCCTGTGATGCTTGCTTCTGAGCTCTGACCCCTGCCTATCCTTCTCCCCAGCTCTATAGCATCGCTGCACCATCTCGAAGTTTCCGGGACTTCAAAGTTCAGTTTATCCCTTTCCATTCAGACCTTGGCTACAGACACAAGTACATCTATAAGAGCCCTGAGCTTCCACGAATACTGAGGTGAGATGCTCTCTTCTGCACAGGCTATCTGAGGCACTTGCTAAGGCTTGGCAGTGGGGGCTTATGGCATGGGAGGTGAAGCAGGGAGGGTAGCTGCTGAACTGTTTGGAGGGGCTCAGGAGATCAAGATTCACCGTGATGTGAGAGCCTCCCACTTTCTTATAGAGAGGTTAACCACAAGCACTCCAGACAGACATGAGTGTGTATGCATATTCATATATGCCCAAACAGCCTGCTTGTGTACACAAATGCAAACATCCACATAGGTACACTTGTGCACATGTACCACACATCCACCCACACATAAACGCATGCGCATGTGCACACAATGGGCACCCCTGCTGCAGTCTGGGTTGGAGCTCATATCCCTCCTACATACGATTAGGTTCCTGTCCTTGTGCAAACTACTGATTGGGGGACCCTATCTTGGGCTGGCTCCACCCTGGCCCTCTTGTTCCCAGCAGTTGCTTGAAGGGAAGCTGCAGTGCTCTGGCTGGAATCCAGTGTCAGGGCATGGGGTGTACACAGACCATTGAGTCCAGGTGGTGAACTTAATTGTGAGGAGCAAGGTCTTGACTTTGGTGATGGGGTAGGGTTTGGAAGAAACCAAACCCCTGCCTTTCCCTTCACAGGATCCAGATAAAAGGTGGAGGGGCCTTTGTGCTAGACCTACTCCCTAACATTTTCACTGGGGCACTACCTGGCCAAAAGGTCTCTTCACTGGGGTGTGGTTTCTGCAATTCCTGGACCTCCCCGGTGTAAGGGTGAGGGTAATGAGATCCCTTGCCCCAGGGCCACCACACCGAGGACTTTTCCAAATAGGCGTCTGATTCTGTGGCATCCCCACCTTCCTTCATGTATAGCCTCCGTGAGTCTTTACTTCCTTAGATGGGCAGTTTGATGAGAGAGGTGGTAGCACCTCTGATTTGGGTTCCTGGGTTGGCTTATGAACTTGCCTTTTTCTGGTCTAGGGAGTTCCTGGGGAAATCGGAGCAAGAACATCACCACTGAGGACTGACTGCATTAAAAAAAGCATGAAGACCTCTGCCCCCCTCCCCTCCCTCTTCCCCAGCCAGCTAGCACCTTGGGCCCTGGTGTCCCAGCATCAGCATTGCTCAGGACCCCGGAATGTGGATTAGCCTGAGGAAGTCCAAGCTGGCTTGAGGGATGTGGGCCTTTGTGGACAGTGTGTAGGAATGGGCTTGAGGCCCTCTCCCTCTTGCTTCCACTCACCTTGAATGACTGCTGGGAAGGATCCGTGAGAGGAGCGGGCAGCTGCCACCACTGGTCACTGTGGCAGAGTCCTTGATTCCTGAGCAGGCACGGAGAGCTGTACTGCGCAGGGTCTTGGAGTGGCAGTGTGGGGTCTCAGGGCCCTTCCTGAGCTACGCCATCCCATCTACAGAGAATATCGATGGGCTGGGTTCTTTCTGCCCTTTCCTGCTCACCCAGGTAGTCAGTTGCTCCTTCCTACCCCTACAGCTCTGTGCACCTGCTTGCCTCCTTGGCCATCACGTAGCCACCCCACCCTCCACCCCATGGGCCCTGCATACCCACCAGACAGGTGGGTCAAGATGGTGACCTATACTTCTGCATTCCTCTAATGTGGGCTTAGACTAAGCATTTATTTAAGAATAAAATTGTGGTGGTGGTCTCTCTTTAGTCCTCTCTGTGAAAAGGGGCCAGTAATGTGTACTGCCCCTCAGTCAGTGTCTTCCCCTCTGCTGCTTATAGGGCCTGGGGGACATGGCAGCAGCAGAGAAAAATCTTAGAAGCCTTGTGGGAGGAGTCTGTTCCCCTTCCTCCTCTCCTTAGACCTCAAGGTCCTTCAGAGAAGGGTGGACATTTCTTCCCAAAAGAGAGATGTTACTTCCTTAAAATCCAGGCCTAAGTAAGGTGAAGGAGCCCAGGTGGCATAGTTACACTACATGTTGAGCTGTTAAGTGCAACACCAGCAGTTCAAACTGACTGCTGGAGAAAGATGAGGCTTTCTGCTTCCATACGGATGTACCACCACAGAAACCCAAAGGGACAGGTTTTCCCTGTCCTATAGGGTTGCTACGAGTCAAACTGATACAACGTTGAGGTTTTTGTTTTTTCAGTTTTAAGTAAGGCGAATTTTCCCTTTACACTTAGGAAAACCATTTCTTACACCTATACAATGACTGTATGACTAGTGTGCTCTAGTGTCTATCTACAGATCTGTATGTATGTGTATACGTATGTATATGTATATATGTGTGTACGTGTGTGTGCGTGTATATATATAAGTCCTTGGCTATGTAAAAACGTGTGCTGGTGGGGAGGTGTGGATTCAGTTTTTATAAGTTTAGGTTATGAAACACACGTACTTAGTAACTCTCCGGTAGTTTCTCATTAGGCATTTTGTAAAACCTACATTCCCTGCACTGCTGCTGCTGTCACCCACGCTGTGAGCGCTTAAGATGCATGTATAAAAGCAGCTCTACCTCTCCCAGAGACGGACATCCCAGTTTTTCGGGTCGGTTTTTTTGTTTGTTTGTTCATTTCCGGGTCAGTTTTACACACCAGATTACATGTCACAACCTCTCCCAAAGTGCAGGGTGAATTGTAGTTGTAATAAACACCTGCTTTTTAATTCTGTCCACAACTGACTACTACTCAGGTGGTCTATGTGTTGGATCAAATCTTCCCTCACTTCTGAACTCTCCCAGGGATTGACTGCCCCAGAGACAGTCTTCCCAGTCCCCTGGCTCTGGGATGTCCTCGTCTCAAACTAGTTGACTAGGGAAGACCCAGGCCTGCTTCCTTGCACACCGGACACAAACAGCTGAAGGGTTAGCGCTTTGTCTCTTGGAGGGTTGTGTAGCAGCTCGGATTAGCTACTGGGCCCAAAGTCTGAAGGAGGACATGCCTTCTCTGAAGCACCTGGGAGCTACTAAGGACTAGTCTTAGCTGTTTAGCTTCCTAAAGGAACTGGCCCCTGTCCCCCTTTGAGGTGGCTTTTGCCATTTGTTTTTCTGCTGCTGGAAAGGGGCTTGCTTCCCACTCCTGACCGCGAACAAAGGTTATGTGCAGGCTCCTGTGTGCTGCCTGTGGTGGTCAGCTCAGAACTACCCGTGAGGGAACCTCATCACCAGCATCCCCTCAGTTCTCCTCTGCACTAGAAGCCTGGAGAGTCACTAAAATGTGAGTGCATCTACTCATGGACAGGGCATCCCTTTTTGAGATGGTAGGTCTGAGGCTCAGGCAGAATAGCCACGCTCTGCTAATTTGTAATCTCCAAGTCTTAGGCATGTGAGTGTCCCTATCTTTGCTCTGTTGCTAGGAAGCCTAAGTCCTAGTTCTCCATCCATCACTACCACTTATATTCTTACACCATATTGGCTTCATCTGCATCCCCGCCTGCCTTCCTGAAATCTTCATCAATTTTCTTTTTAACTGCTTTGTTTATGTAAACTGATTCAGAGACTTTTGCAGCAGAATGAGGCAGGATATAAAGAAAAAATATAAGCTGTCACTGTTTTTTACAACTGAACAGGCTGAAGCCGAGGCGGCAGCTCTAGGAAGGAGAAAGCCTTTATGGCCACCTTACCACCACTCACTTAGCTGTGGGAAGATAACACTCAAACCCCAAGTCTGGGCTGCCTGCCTTTAACCTTGGTGTCCAAGCAACTATGCTTAGTTGTTGAGTTAGGCCCCTCTGGTGGATTGCTATATCTATCTGTGGGGCAGTGGACCAACCTTAAAGTAGGAACGGGATGATGTGGGGCATTCTAAGGAGAACTATGCTGTGGAGCTTCACAGCCATAGAATGTGTTTCCAAGTGTCAGACTCCAAGGCTTAGGAAGTGGAAGTGGAGTTCTTAGACTCCATGTCAGGAGTCCCACGTGTGCTAATTTCTGGGTTATGCCAAAGGTCCAGGGTGGGCTGTGCTCAAGGGAAAACCCACGAGTCACTCACTGCCTTCAATGAGACTTGCAGTATGCCACCATCCCTGACCAATCAATGGTGCCGTTTGGCCATTGCTTGGGTCCTTGGTAAAGCTGCCAATGGCAAAAACTCACTGCCAGCAAGTTTATTACAATGCGTGATGACCCTCAGTAGGGTTTCTGAAATGGCGAATCTTTGCAGGAGCAGCCAGCCTCATCTTTCTCCAGCTAAGTGATTGGTAAGTTTGAATTGCAGACCTTGAAATTAGCAGTCCAAGACTTAACCCAGAGTGCCACAAAAGCTCCTGGTCCTGACAATAGGTAGCTGCTTTTTTATTGGACCTGCACACAGCTCTCTCTGGTGGCAGGAGTAGGAGCCGACACAGTTCACACCAGAAACCCAAATGCCTCATTTTGATCCCCAGCTGATGCCAGCAGCTAGATCTGACAAGTCTGACGGCTCAGTCCCACATGCAGCTGTCTCATGACCCGGAATGATTCAGCCCATCCCCCTCCATAAAAAGGAAGGAACTAGGGCCCGAAGACGTGATGAGCATGTGGTAGGGATCTCAGGGACTCGCAGGGCCTCAGGAGGGCTGAGCACACAGGGAGCCACAAGAACACTCCCCTGTTTCCCGCTCTGCTTTTCTTCTGGGTTACTGCAGCTCGAGTTCAACACCCATCCCTGCTCCCCAAAGCGGTGAGACCCATCATCTTCCTTGTCCTCGACGATGCAGAGGGCAGCATATAAGGAATAAAATAGAGACACAACTGCCACCACAAGCACAGAGGTTTAATGAGCTGCTCATGGGCGACAGTGACAGTGACTGGCAGTATCAACAATCACATGCAACTGGCCTGTGGGTGTGGGTCAACTGGCTGTTGTCAGGCCCAGACACAGCCAGAACTTGTTCTCTCTGCACAAAATACCCAGCAACTCTTTGGTGAACCACAGCACTCACAAGCAGTGTCAGGAGTCTTCTTCCGCACAGCACTCATATCATATTCATGAAGCAGGCCAGGTAGTTTCAGGGAGGTAGGGCCTGGCAGAGCTGGATACACTATATGGTGTATGTGGGCTGTATGCATCCTATTTAGCTGTTAGCCTTGTTGCAAAAAGAGAAAACTAATACTTTGGAAATTAAAAAGGTCCCATGGCCCACTGGATCCCTTCGCTAAGATTGTGTGCATTGAAGAGGGGAGAGAGGCAGAGTTCCTTGCCAAGACAGGCAGGGACTTGCCAGGCACCCAGTGCACCAATAAGAGCAGGCAGTTCTGGCTGCGGGGAGAGGCAAAGGTTCAAAATACAAGGCACTGCCCCCTTTGTTCACAAAACATAACAATTTTCAGGGACTAAGATGAGAAAAGGCTTTAACTAGTTTATTTCCTTATGATGGTAACTTCTGTAAAAGTAAAGTGGAGCTAACTTTGCATCATAGCCTGCACTGGATGCTTGACAGATGTGCCCCCTGGTTATCTTAGGTTTCCCTTTGACTCTGAGCCCTTCAGGCCTGTAGTACCCACACCTAGGGTACAGAAATGCCCCGTGGCTCAGCACTGACCACTGAACTTGCCCCACCAGAGGGTAGGAGCCAAGAGCTGGTAGGGGTGCAGGAGGAACACTCTTACTCGATGCCAGACCTCACTTCCTACCTTCCCCACTCTCCAAGGTTCCCAGGTCTCAGGGAGGATGGCAGTAGACACAGAGGACCATTCTGACCACCCTTGAGGACTCCTACCACACCCACCTCTGCCCTCACAGCAGTCCCGGCTGATTGGTTCTGCTAAATAACTCTTTCAGTTCTAAACATTAATGTGCACATCTCCTAATGCCTCATCACATATACCGAGCTATATGTGTCCTATTTAGCTGTTAGCTTTGTAGCAAAAGAAAACTTTTGGAAAGAGACAGTAGTCAAGGCTGCTATAACACAGGATCTGGGCTTGCTATAAATCACTATTGGAGGAGCTTCCAAATATATTCCCTACTCCCAGTAACTGACACTGGTGAGGACGTGGTGTTGGTTGTAGTATGGTCTCTACTTTTGTATGCTACTACATGTTTTAATTTTTCATAATGAAACTTTAAAAGAATGGTTCTCAAAGAGATAGTAATCAACTATCCCTACGCACGCACACACCTCATCCTGCATTAGGGTACAGTCTAGAGAGCACCAGTCTGACTGTCCCCAGCTCGGCACAACCACTTTTCTCAGACCCAAGCCCCACAAGGTTAAAATCAAAGGCATTTAAGCTCAAGCTCTACAGAGTGCACTTGGGGTTCCTGGACAAGTCCTTCCACACTCTGCACATCCCCTTTTCTGAGCGCCCATAAGGATTTCATACAGTCCATGTACCTCTCCCTCCTCTCCACTCCCCCTCCAAGCCACCACCTCTCCATGAAACAGTAGTAAGATAAGCAGGGGTCACAAGCTGTGGGCGAAGTGTTGGGAACCCCTCGTGAAGTGCTGTGCCATCCAGGGATAAGCCCAAACGAGTGGATGAAGGATGGGAGTGGATAGAGCCAATGAGTGGAGTAGAACCCTGAAACCTAGTCCCGGGGGATGTTGGGTGGTGGGATCTTCAGGCCTGAGGGCTCAGCACCCCAGATGTCCTCTGCATACTCCATGATGGTCCGGTCACTGGAGAACTTGCCTGAACAAGCAATGTTACAGATGACCTTCTTAGTCCACTCTTTAGGGTTCTGCAGAGGGAGTAACAGGATGCCAGTTAATCTGTGCTATTACAGGAAGTAGGACATGTAAGAATCTGTGTTTTTAGAACATGACTATGTCATAAGTCTGCCAGTGCCCTGCCCACAGCCCCCTCTCACCCAGCTCCCCATTTTGCCCTCCAGGCCTTTCCAGCCTCTGGCTCCAGCAACACTGCATGCCTTTAGGCCCTGGCACGATGATAGTCTTATGCCCTGAGCATATTGAGACTTAGGATCAGAGGCTGTTCCTCCAACCTCATGGAACTCAGTGGACAATGCCCGAGCAGAAGGGCCACATGTGTGGGAACCATAGGCATATGTCATAGCGAGGTGGCCACACGTGCATCCACAGCATGCTCAGAGACTGCTGAGCCACTAACCACTATTCTGGGTCCACACGCTGAACTACAACTTCCCTAAGAGTGTCCAAAGCAGGCAGGGCACAAGCCTTCCCAGCTGACCCCCCAGGGAACCCAGGGATGTTACCTGGTATAGTTGGTTCACCTTCTCCTGACACTCCATGTAGGCTTCATAGTCTGCAAACACTTTGAACCTGCAGCAGGAAAGGAGATTGTGGTAGCATGCACCAGCATGGGGGTCATGTGGGTAGGGGGCAACCAGCAAAGCCCACTGGCTCTATCTCAAGCCTTAGGAACTCTCAAGCAACACAGGTGAGGGCAGGAGGCAGGAGTACTGCAGCCTGCTGTACCACGTCTGACCAGCCTGAGCCAGGAAGCTTTTCTGTAAGCATAACGTAAGAAGACAACTTGTGGAAAAAACTGCCTTGCCCTAACATGACTATAAATGACATAGCCTACATCCTTTGTCCACCTCAGAAGTGCTGTGGTGAACATCCCAAATGCTAACCCACTCTGTCCTCTGGGGATGCTTAGTTAAAGCTGTACTGGGTGTAGGTGCCGGGAACAGCATTTCTAGCCCTGTATTCATCCTAAGTCTTCCTGGGCTGAGCACTTGTAACATAGGCAACACTGCATTCCCTGGTGTTCTGGACATTTGACATATACTTTGTTTACTATTGAGTCGGAAGTACAATTTATAAAAGTGTTTCAAGTCCTAGCTTCACTAGGTGTGTGTGTGTAGTTATGATTTGGTCAAATTGGAACCAGCTGATCACACAGTTATCAAAAAGTGATGGTAGCACAAAATGGTAGATTTAAGTAATAACACTAAAACGTATACACTTAAAAAAAAAAGCAAGCATTACATAGTAAAATAAATCTTTTAAAAAAGAAGACAAAACAGTGGCCAAAAATTAAGCTAAAAAAATTAACCAAAAAAAGAAACTAAAAGTATAAGAAAGGTTACTTCTCAGCCTGAGACTATTTCAGTTTTGAGCCAAGAGAGATGGTGCTGGTGTCTCTAAGGAGAGAAACTTGTACTTTGTTAAGTACACTGCCGTAAGGCACTAACTGTTATTATAACATTACTGACACAAGTTACTTCTATTTTACCACTACATAGTTCTACTTTACCACACCACAGTCTGGTCACTTCGCATACCCTCCCAAGCCCACTTCCCAGAGGCTTCTTGAGAGATGTTCTGCTTGCTTGGCCTCTTGGGGACAAGCGCTCATGTTCCCTAAGATGCTCAACTGAAACTTGGGCATCCCCTCAGCCAGGACCATCATGACATTGCCCACACCCCATCACATCCATTGCCCAGGTTGGCCACACAGCTCCAGCATTGCTTTAGCTATGGCCCAGTCAGTGCACACTGCGGTGAAGAGCATCTTGCCTCTAAACAGGAGGGCTTTTGTGCCAACAGCACAGGGCAGGTTATTATTACCTGTCATGATGCATCAGCATGTCGACAATGTCCTTGAAGCAGTCAGGCTCCTTGGGCAAGAAGAACCCATTGCTTATCTGGTCCACCGCCTGCCTGAGCTCGGGGAGGCGGTCATAGAACTCTCTCGCATTGTACCTGTGGGGACCAGGTCATGAGTCAACACCAGGGCCCCTGAGCAGCAGCCACTGCCAACAGGTAGCTGTTGGGTACTCAAGAGAGGGCTCTGTTGTGCTGTGCTGAGAGTTCAAAGTCACCTGCTGCTCTAAAAAATCAGTCCTAGAAAGTGTACAAAACGTGTGACTCACGGCATTTCTGCTGTAGAGGGCTGCTCACAACTGGTCTGTGAGAATGTGGGCAGAACTTGCAGATCTATATGCTCTGCCCCTTGAGCCCACAGCCCCCACACCCAGCGTCTCTACCTGCACCCTTCCTGACAGGGTTTAAAAAATCCCCTCAAATGGGGCTTTGAAGATGCAGAGTAAATGCAAGCAAACAAGACAAACAGGTTCACACCATCGGCTCAGGGGACTGAGGGGACATGGGGAAGTATGCACTCAGGGCCGAGCACAGAAGCTGGAAGAGCCTTGGTGGTGGTGGTGTGTGGGTGTGTTAGGGGGATGGGGGTGGGGCAAGGCATGCCCAGGAAACAGCTCTGATGTTTTAAGAAATATGTACAATTGTGTTTCACCTGGTAGGTGTCCAAGACCTTACCGACTTTTCCAAGTATATAGGCATTTGGACAATACTACCTTTTCTTGTCTTTTCAACTACCATTCAGAATTAGACCAAGGTGAAGGTCATGCAGCATGGGAAGCTGAGGAAACATGACAGCCAGCCACATGCAGTGCTGCCTGGTCTGGGTCCTGGCTCAGAAGATGCTGCTGTGGGGGGCAAGGAACTGGAGTGTGATTGACAATGCTGAGCAATCCCAACAGCAGTGATGCACACACAAGGCCTGAATGAGGGAGAGGTTAGGGGCACACCAGGATCCTGTCCTATCTCTGAAACTTCTCTGTGAACTTGTAAATCACTCCAAAACTAAAGGTTAAAAGACTAAGGAACTTTGGCAGTGGACAAGCTCAAATTTCCTGTCAGCTGAAGGTCATCTGGCCAGAGGAGGAATGTGACTTTGACTCCAGAGATGGGGATGTCATCACTTAGGACTGAAGGGGCTGGACTTGGGAGCCACCTGCCCTGTGCTGCGTCCCTGGTCACCCTCTGGGAGGGAACAGGTGTCCTCCAGTGATCAAAGGAATGAAAGGATCACTGTGCACTTTGCTAGAGGAAAGGACAGTCACTGAGAAACCCAATGAGCACAGCAGTCAGCTGTTAGCAGCACGGGAGTGGCCACGTCTGTGAAGCCATCCTGAAATGGCTAACACTCCCACAAGTGCTGCTCCAACCCTGGCACCACCATAGGCCCAGGCAAGATGGTGGGCACATACCCTTTCCGGTCCAGTGCCTCCACATCCTCCACCCGCATGCCAAAGATGAAGAGGTTATCCTCCCCTGCCTCCTCAGCCATCTCCACATTGGCACCATCCAGCGTCCCGATGGTGAGGGCCCCATTCAGCATGAACTTCATGTTGCCCGTACCCGAGGCCTCAGTGCCCGCAGTAGAGATCTGCTGTGACAGGTCTGCAGATGGAATCACTAAAGCAAGCACAGGAGGGTGGTCAGCCACTTGCAGCAACTACTGAGGTGCTACCCGACCCCACTGAAGAAACTTCTCAGGGTAGAAAGGAAGATGTGCCCAGGCTGATGTTCAGGGGTGGGGCCTCCAGTCCTAGTCTTCTCTGGCCCTCTCCACTTCCTGAGGTGGATGGTACAGGTGTGCCATGAGGCTCACCCCAGGGTCATGCCAGAGTCCTTCCAAGCAGTACCCACACACCCCCCACCCCCATTCTAGAGATGAGAGACGAGAGCCACCCTTGCCCACCCTGCCTTGATTCAGAGCAGCTGAGGAAAGAGATTCAAAATAAGCTGGCAAAAGCTATTTATTCTAGAACCTTTCCAGGGACCATGGCCAAAGCAAAGTCGGACGGGTCTTTTGATGCTATTAGTGTTATCATCCATTCTCATTCGGAAGTCACATATTTCTTACTCGCCCCTTAAGGCTGCTATTGGAGCTAAAGGACTAGAAAGCATGTATCTGAATGTGCGTGAGCATCACCAGATGTGTGGATGACTGACTGGTGTTCCACAAGCAACAACAGCCAGGTGTCAGGCACTCCTCCTCATGGATCCCTGCAACCCTTGATGGGCAGGAAGAAAAGTACATCTGGCTTTATCCCAGGGGCACATTAGCAAGACTTGCTGCCTCATATCACCCTCAGTTCATTGTACAGCTTCCTTGCTGGGTCCCCAGCCTGAACATGGGTACTGGAGCCAGCCCTCTCCAAAGTGGGCCAAAGGCTGGCCCCGTAGCAGGATAAAACTACTGTCCCCTGCCCTGCAAGCTGCATAGCCCAGTAAGAAGGAAGCCAGCAAATATAATAAATATGACCCATAGCTATCTAGAATCTGCCTGACTCCGTTTGGTTGGTTTTTTAAATGGTAGGAGTAGGAGTCAGTTGGCTCTAAACTGGAGGTATGCATTCTAGGCAGATGAGATGGCCAGGTGAGAAACTTATTAAAGCTTGGCAAGGAAACAGCACTAAAGTTCCTGGCCAGACCCTGTGTAACATGGCCCAAGTTCACTTAAAGGGCCACTGCACTTAAGGCAGTAGAGCAGCATGGCCATAGAACAAGGCTGGATAGATTTACACATCCCTGACAGGGAGCACCAGGAAGCAGTATTGGTGATGTCACTCTGTATTGTACACACAGGCCTGGGCCCCAAAACAGGAGGCCAGTGCAGGCGGCCACCACTGGTTAGACAAACCGCTTTGTTGCCACAGCCTCAGAAGCAACCAGTTCAGAAGGATATCTTAGTTGGATGTGTGGGAAACAGATTTCTCCCAAGTCTTCTCCCCCAAATATATGTTGGACTTAGGACACTGCTTGTAGCTAATGGTAAATGATTGTCAAGTTACCTCCCTGAAGGCAGTCAGCAACCAACTACTGTCTGATCCCACCACAAGTAGGGCCCACTCCCTGCTGTTACGGACAATGGGCTACTTCTCCCCAAAGGCTTGCAGTCATAGGTTGGTAGGTGGGTTTACACCCTACTGATAATGGTTTCTATTGTGAGCCAGAGAACAGGTCAAACTGGCTCAGAGATATCCAAAATTAAGCTGCCTCCCTGAATATAGGATCTGCCCATCTTGTCGCGTGTGTACCCCTTCTTGTTGCGTGGTTAATTCTAGATCACCCCCTCCCATTACTGTATTACATATAGCACAACCCTTTCCTGTGACATATGTCTTCACCTGTAATAAAGGGGCTTGCATATTCCCAGAGAATATAAAAGCGTTGGTTAGCAATAAATAGCTCGCTCTCTCTCTTTCTCTCTCTCCCCGTGGGCCACCAAGTGAGACTGAGGTGAGCATGCTACCATGAAATGTGTCTGACTCCATTATTTTAATCTCTCTTCTATCTCTGATGCTCTCTATGACTTTACTATAATCCTTACTCATTATCGCTGAATAATTGCACCTACCAGACCTCTGATGATGTGTTACGGGCTGGTCTACCCTGACAGGATCAGTGTTTTCCCAGCTACCTGCTCAAGTAGCAACACATGTCCTAGGTTCCCAAGGCTTGCTTCAAGGTGGCAGGCAAGCCCTGGGCTCTGAAAAGCTGGTGGACACTCGCCTTTAGCTTCCCACAGGAAAGGTAAGAGGCCAGTGCTCGCCAGCATGAAAGAGCATTGTACCTATAAGCAACCAGGCCAGTGGCAAGAGAGGTCTGGCAATAGAGGCAGTGAAGAGGCTGCATGCTTCCACTAGCTAGGAACATGGCTTGCCCACGACCCCAGGAAAAGGAGACAGTGAAACGATAACAAGACCAAGGGCAGCAGAGGAGAGGGCACCTGCCTTGAGAATCATTCTACCTGTGGTACACACAGTGCCTTCAACAAGGAGGGAGCACTTTTACCCAGGCCTGTTGCTCACGCTTAGGGTACATCCTAATTGTATTGTCTCAGCCACCTCATGCCAACGAAGGGCAACCTTTTGTTCATGAAGGCCTTCCAAATACCTTTCTCAGCCAAGGACACACGGTAGTTCTCCAGGAAGATCACTTTAAGCCTGTCACCTACAATGGCGTCATGATTGACAACATTGCCGATGGATGTGACCAGCTTGATAATCATTTTGGCCATGTGATAACCAGGAGCTGCCTGGAAGAGAAGGTCAGTGTAAAAGAGGGCACTGAAGATCTGTGTCATTCTCATGGGTACTTGGGAGGAGAAAGCCCAGCCAATACAAGATCCGAAGGATTAGGCAGGAAAGCCATGGATTCCAGGAACACCGAAGCAGTTCTCTACTGATGTCTTACACGATGTGTCAGTTCCCAGTCTAAACATAAGTAAGTTCCCACATCCAATACACAGGATGAGGCCCCACACAATCCTTCATAGGAACCTGGAGTGCCTTTCACCAACCTTGACACCTCAACTTCTGTGAGGTATCTCTGTAAATATGATTTCCTGATGCCAGTGTTGTAGCCAGATATTAGGAAGTAAAAGGCCCTCTAGAGCTGACTGTCAAACTCAGGAGAAATCCAGGGAACCTCAAGCATATGACACCATCCCAGAGGGTATAGCAGTGGAGGCTGTGGGGACAGAGTACCATGCTTCTTCAACAAGTAAATAACATGGTGTAGAGGAGAAGCTGTAGACTATGAAAGATCTGGGGGACCAACCTGGATGCTGGACAGGGAAGGTCCCTCAAGTTAGTGGAGGTGACAGGCATCTAACTGGCTGTGTCAGGCATTTTCTAACCTACCTACTGGATTCTGGCTCCAAGGTTTTCTGACCTTCCAAGTATCACAGGTGTGTGATGGTTTGGGCCAGTCTCAGAAATCATTTACCACAGGTTTGGACCATAGGATATCATTTACCTTTCCTCCAATCATGACAGTTCTGGGTACAAAGGACTTTGTTGGGTCTTTCCTTATTCCTGCAGATAAAGGAGATCTTGTAAGGCACTGACACCCAGGTCAGAAAACACCACATGTCCACCTACTGTGGTAGACAAAACCCCACACCATTAGTGGCAGAAGGCCCTAAGACCAAGACCCAGAGATGGGGACGCCAGGTCCACACATGACACACTGCCCACCGTGACTCTGTGTTCCCTCTAAGTATGCCAAGAGCCACAGGAATGGCCAAGACTCCTTTTGCTGCTCTCACCAACCACTGACCACACACAGTCCCCAGGAATTGCCATGCCCTGACTTCCACATGTGGACACCATTATTCACATCTTTGAGCAAAACAATACTTGTGCTTTAAACAGTGCTTTGGGTGTATTGTTTTGGTTACAGAGAGACAAAGAGATGGGCCTAGGAAGTAATGAGGGGACCATTAGCAATGGGATCAGGGGTGGTTAGACAAAATTTTCATACTCTCCTTTAGAGCCTGGGTCAAAAGTCTCCAACTCTATACTCCCTATCAGGATATGGGGCAGGAGCCCCCTGCTCCCCACCAGAACATGGGAACTCCCTACCACAGGTCAGACTCAGGACCCAGCTCAGCCTCCCCAAACAGGTTATCCTTGCCAGGTCAGTGATTTCCAGAGTTCTGGGGTAAGGGGCTTACTAAGAAGCTCATATAAAATACATTTGCCTCACATGACATTAGTTATTGCTAGGTGACTATGTGACCATTCCTCGGGGGTGGAGGAGGGGTACATTAATCACTGAGCCTCTGTGCTGCCTCATGTGACTTTGCTGGGGATCCATATCAAGTATACTCTAGAAGGGTGTTATATACCATAGTACATCGTGTTCTGAGGGTCAGACTCTTGTACCTGGAGGAAAACCTGTTTAGTATTTAGTACTGTCAAGTTGGCTTGACTCATAGCTACCCTATGCACAAAAGAATGAAACAATGGCCCGTGTTGTGCCATCTTCAGAATTGCTGCTATATTTGCAGCCTCATAGTTGCCAATTTTTTGTAGCCAGTGTTAATCCATCTTGTTGAGGCTCTACTTCCTTTTTATGAACCCTCTACTTCAAGCAGCATGATGCCCGTCTCTAGGGACTGGTCCCTCCTGATAACATGCCCAAGGTACATAACTAAAAGCCATCCTTGCTTAAAAGAAGCATTCTGGCTAGATTTCATCCAAGGCAGATTTATTTGTTCTTTTGAAAACCTTACTCTCCAAAATAGACCATATTTAAGGCTATAAAGTAAGCCTTAATAAACTTTAAAACATTAAGAGTGTACAACCCGTTTTCTCAGACCACAACATTATAAAACTAGAAATCAACACTAGAACAAGGGCAAAGCATTAACAAAGGAGAAAATAAAAATCAATTCCTTAAAATAGCATTTTCAATATCTAGAACATGAGCAACACAATAAGCCCAAAAGAAAATAAAAGAACTAAAGATTAGAGCAGAAATAAATTAACTTGAAAATTGGGGGGAAGGAGGGCAAAATTGAAAAAAAAATTGAGAAGATAAGAAGTTGGTTCTTTAAAAGGATTAACAAACCACTGGTAAACTTAGCAAAGGAAGAGAAGATGTAGATATCTAGAACTAGAGATGAAAAGGCGACATCACAACAGAACAAATCTAGATGAAATGGATACATTTCTAGAAATATCAGCTACCCAAATTAATGCAAACTGTTGTAGAAAACCCCAAAAGATCCAAAACAAACGAAAAAAAATACAGCAAGTCACTTAAAAGCTTCCAACCAAGGAAATTCCTAAAGAAGTAAGATGGCTTCACAGGGGAAGTCTACCAAATATTCAGAGAAGAGCTGTCACCAATTCTACACAGACTATTCCAGAATATAGAAAAGGACAGCAAACTCACTGTATGAAGTGAACATAACCCCGATACTAAAACCAGGCAAAGACACCATGAGGATAGAAAACAACACCAATATCCCTTGTGAACGTGCATGTAAAAACTCTCAACAAAGCCCTAGCTAATAGAATCCAACAATATATATGAAAAAATAGTACACCATGATCAAGTGAGATTCATACCAGCTACACAAGGATGGTTGAACATTAGAAAACGATATATACTCTACCTCATAAAAAAATAAGAGCTACATGATCATAATCAATGCAGAAAAGGCATTTGACAATATTCATACTCATGATAAAAACACTCAACAAAAGAGGGATCAAAGAGAATTCTCAACATAATAAAGGCCATTTATGAAAAATCAACAGCCAGTATCTAGCTCAAGATGGAAAAACTGAAATCATGTCCCTTGTGAAGAGGAACCAGACAGGGATATTCCCAATCATCATTCTAATTCAACATTATGCAGAAAGTCTTAGCTAGAACCATTAGACAGCAAAAAAAGGAAGTCAAAGAAATCCAAATGGGCAAAGAAGCAGCAAAACCCTCAATATCTGTGAATGATATGATTTTATAAGTATAAACCCCCAAAGACTAACAAGAACAATGGAAAGATTTGGCAACATGGCAGGACATAAGATCAACAAACAGAAACCAATGAGATTCCTGTATACTGATGAAGAGAGCTCGTAAAAAGGCATCAAGAAAACAATACTATTTATAATAGCCACATAAAAGATGAAATATTTATGAATAAACCTAACAAAGAAACATTTGTGCAAAGTAAATTACAGAACACTACTATGAGAAACCAAGAGACCCACACAAATGGAAGATTATTCCATGTTCATGCACTGAAAGGCTTAGTATTGTGAAAATGCCAATACTATCCAAAGCAATCTACAAATACAATGCAATTCCAATTCTCATCCCAACTTTATTCTTAATAGAACTTGAAAAACTACTTATTAACTTCATGTGGAGAGGGAAGAGACCTAGGATAAGCAAAGAACTCCTTTTTTACAAAAAAAAGAGGCCTCACACTACCCAACTCAAAACATATTTCATGGGCACATTAGTCCACAACAGCCTGGTTCTGGTAAAATGATAGTTACAATGGTACAGAATGTCAAATCCAAACCCAGAAATAAGTTCATCCATTTATGTTGAATCTCCCTCTAGAGAAAAAATGAAGCAGGATCCATACCTCACCTCATATACAGAAACAAATTCTGTATGGATCAGACACCTAAATGCAAATCACAGAGCTCTAAAGATATCCATGAGAAAATAGATGACTGGGACCTACTAAAAATAAGACACTTATGCACATCAAAAGACTTCATCAAAAGAGTAAAAAGAAAGCCTTCACACTGGGGGGGAAAATCTTTAGCGACAACACAACTAACAAGGGAATAATATCTAAATCTATAAAATACCAAAAGACCCCAATAAGAAAAAAATATTCAATTAAAAAGTGGGCAAAAGATGAATAGACAGTGACCCCAATAAGAAAAAAAAATCCAATTAAAAAGTGGGCAAAAGATGAATAGACAGTTCAGTAAAAATGGCATTCAAATGGGCAACAAACATACAAAAATGCTCAGTCACTAGCCATCTGGGAAATGCATGTCAAAGCATTAATGAGACAGCACCTAACACTGACGGTGACAGCTCAATTTAAAAAAACGCCGCAGAAGGTGCAGAGAGATTGGAATTCTCATGCACTGTTGTGGACCTGTAAACATGTACAATGTGGAAAGTGACATGGTACTATCTAAACCAACGGGGAATGGAAACCCCATATCAGGGGTCCTCAAATCACAGCCCATGGGTCACATGCGGCCCGCCGGGTGCTTTTGCCCGTTTTGGTTTTTTACTTCAAATAAAATATGTGTGGTGGGGTCGGTGCACTCGGAGCTGTCGGAGTGTGAGAGCGGGACGGGAACCTGGTGGCACTCTTGTCTTTCTGCAGCTTCTCCGGGGCGAGGTTTTCCAGAATGTCTACGTGTGTGGTAAGTGTGGCTACGAGCTGTTCTCCAGCAGCTCCAAGCACGAGCACTGTCGCCATGGCTAGCCTTCACGGGGACCATCCACGATGATAGCGTGGCCAAGTGGTCCGAACACAATCAGCCTGATGATGCCTTTACGGTGTCCTGCGGTAAATGCGGCCATGGGCTTGGCCACGAGTCCCTCAATGATGGCCCCAAGTGGGGGCAGTCCCGCTTCTGAATATTCAGCATCTCCCTGAAGTTCATCCCAAAAGGCAACAAATCTGCCTCCCAGGAGAAGTAAGGGGGCAGCCCAACCCCAAGCTGCAGCCACAGGCATTGGTCACCCCCCTTTAGAACTACAGCCTACTGACCTTCAGGCAGGGAGGGCTGGATGGGTGGTCGGTGTTTCCCGACGACCCTACCCCCTGTGCCAGGATGGGGCCGAGGGCTGGTTCATCTTGGCCTCCGAGGTTCAAGGCTGGGACTCTGGTCTTAGGGTGTCTGTGTCTTAAAAGACATAACACCCTTGGCTTCTCTCCTCAGCCTGGAGGCCCCTCCCTGCCTATCTGGTCTCGCCCCTATGAGCCCCAAACAGCTAAAGAAACTTTGGTACATACACACAATGGACTGCTATGCATCATTCAAAAACATTGACAAAAGTACAGAGCACCTGTATAGTCACGACATGAATGCACCCGGAGAACATTATGCTGAGTGAAGTTAATCACAAAAGGGCACATATTGTATGAGGTCATTACTATAAGGAGAAACACCAAGGCAAAAGCAAGCATCTGTTCTCCGGTCATGGAATCATTGAATCAAATCTCCCAAACAATGTGGTGGTGTTTCTGTGGGTTGCTTACGATCACTCCCTTATTGGCACATCTTATAAGCCTCTTCAGAGAAGGTCTCATTTCAGCTGGGGTCAGCTTTAGAGGGGAGAGGGAAAGGACCAAATAGATCCTTTGATAGAGCATTGCCCCATAGTCACCCCAAATTAATAGCCACTCCTATCATGGTGATCCATGAATTTCAGCGGAAATTCATCATCAGAGGAATAGAGGATTCCTCTGTTTCTGAGTTGGTGTTTTCACTTTTGTTGGTCAGTAAACCAAGGAATGGCAGCCTACTCTTCAAGAAAGCGATGAACATTATCTATATAGATTCCAAATGGTGGAATCCGCCTTGCATTATGTTACTAATGATGTATTTCGACAGTTTCTTCAAAGCCCTCAGTGAACCTGCTGGGTGCTATTGGCTACCTGGATGTTAGATTTTAACCCACATCAAAATTATGTGATTTGGAAACCCCACTATGGAGCCTGGACTTTACCTTAAATATACCTGTTCCAGATGAAAGGAACTGAAATATTTCTTTGGATTTAAAGCTGAAACATCCTGGTATGAGGAGAAGCAGAGGACTTCTATCACAAGGTTGTGGTTTTGGAAGCCAGTGGACTTTGATTCAAATCTTTTGCTCTTGAGGTTCCTCAGTTATTGGCAACTTAAAACTACTATGTACTTGCTGTTTTCATTCTTTATTTGCTTTTTGTGATACATCTTAGTCCTACAGACATAGTTTATCTTAGTGAATGAGTGTGATTGAAATATTTGTCTAACCCTCATTGCTTTCTTAAATAGTGTTCAATTACTTAAGTTTTTAATCCGTTTAACAGAAAATCCCATGTATTTTAGTCTAAAAAACTTACCTAAATGTATTTTCCTTTCCTCAGTGATGCAGGCTAGAACTGATCTGTTTCCAAAATGTTCTCTATTTTTGGTTTGCATTGTTTTGTCTGTTTTTTCTTTGTTTATAGTAGAATGTATCTCAGAGGTGTTATGTTAATGGAGGTCACCCTCTTGAAGCTGTATTATATGCTTTTCTGTTTTTCAGTATAAAAACCCAGGACTGATGAACAAGTAGACTAAAGGGCTTTCGGTGGTAGTGTGGTGGTGGTGGTGGGGGGGGGGCTTACAGTGGTGGTGGGATAAAAGGGAGATGATGTCAAGGAGGCCATGTAGAAAAAGAATGAAAACTGACTGTGGTAGCAGTTGTACAATTGTACTTGATGTGATTGAAATGGAATGATACGTTATATGTATTAAATCCCAACCAGTAAGAAAAAAGCCTATTCCATTGGCTAGATTAGTGATACAATTACTAGCATTACCAAATATCTCATGGAGGTTATTTAAATTATTTCACAACAAATGTGACGTCAGCTAATTCCACATAGAAGGAGCACACCAGCCAGTGTGATCCAAATATTGTAAATAATAGAAGATAAGAGAGGGAATTGTATTAGAGCTTAACTCCCTGTTTGTAGAAGGCTATGGATGATAGTAAAAGCCCCAAATCCATTTGCAGACTCCATATTCGGGTAAAGCCTCCATTGAACTCCCTCAGGCCAATGGCTAGAGATGTGAATAGCCTTGCCCTCAGACACAGTGCATTGGAAAGTGGATTACTGCAGATATAGTTAGGTTAAAATTTAACTTAAAATTTTTTTTCCGTTTTGACCCATTTTTAATTTGTTTGTTTCTTCTTTACCTTCTGTATTTTGGATTGAGGTTTTTCTGTGTTTTATTTTGCTCTCATTGTTGGGGTTTTTGTGTTATTTCTTTATATGAAATAAAGGATAGGTAATCCATAGAGATAGTAACAAGATTCCATAGAGTTAAGACCTGGAAGGGTGGGGAGTAGTGGGGAACTAATAACAATGGGCACAAGAATGAAGAAAATGATCTAAAATTGATTGTAGTGATGATTGCACAACCCTTAATATATTTAAATCACTGAATTATATGCCAATAAAACTTTCTGAAGAAGGAAAGAAAACCATATAGAGCACAGTTCTACTTGGACCCAGACGGGGCCATTGTGAGTTGGGACTGAATCAATGACAGCTAGTTCTACTTTATTCCTTATATGTATACTGTGCCTCTATTAAGCAAACTTTGGCCGTATACTTAAGATGTCTAATAGAGATGAACTAAATTTAAAATAAACACTAACCCAATTATAATACCCAGCTTTAGGGTCCTGCACAAAAATCCCCATCTATATACCATTATTGCTTATACTTAATATGCCCGGACTCAGCCCAGGGCTCCCTACATTTCAGGGTTTGAAGTTGAGGGCTCACCTGTCTTTTCTCTGACCTTTCTGGCAATGGACACACAGACCACTTTGGGATGTCAACTCTTCCCACCCATCTTGATTGTAGAGAGTAAAGCCTGGGGACTATGCATAAGGCATGCCCACTGAATGCTTAGAGGACACCCAGAGCAGATCGAAGGGGCAGGGTGGCTGACAAGACCACTTACGGTTGTACAGGGTGATGATGTGCAGGCAGTTCAGTAGCTGGCGCTTATATTCATGGATCCTCTTCACATGTACATCAAACATGGAGGTGGGGTTTATTTCTACCATGTACTCCTTCTCTAGGAAGGCAGAGAACTTCATCTTATTCTCCTAGGGGAGCCAAAGGAAAGGACAATCTAGATAGCTACTGGGCACCAGGCCATGACATTGCTCAAAACACAAATTTCCACGGTCCAGCCCAGCTCTGCTTTCTGAGAAAAGCTACAACTCGAGAGAGTATGTCCAGGCAGGTCAGTCTGCTGCTGCTGGGATAGGAGGCTCATGGTAGGAAGACAGAGCTGTGGGCCGAGAAACGCCGTACTCATGGCACATCCACAGGTTGCTGCAGAACTAGAGTGGAACTGAAGATCCGTAGGGCAAGAACGTGACAGGAAAAAGTCATTGAGCACTGTAGGTAAAGGTGCATGGGTTTACAGTGGAGTACTCTTTCTGGCCCCTCACTCTGTACAGGCACGGTGGAGGGCGAGGCACATGGCTCGCAATACAGAGGACCTCTGTGGCAAGAGCAGCAGCAGCTCTGCTCTCAGGTTCTCTGTCCAAGTAGCCAGGTACTTGCTTAATAAATTTCAAACAACTAACACGGCCCTCGTTTGCTAAGTGTGAGATTATAGGCAAATTCTCCAAGGACTATGGCAGTTCTTAGGGATGCTGAGGTGCGACTCAGAAGTGTAGCGATTAGACGTTTGTAACAGACTCTCCACAGCAGCGTCGCTCTGGCCAGTTCCCTCCTACATAACAGCAGTGGAGGGAAGCCAGGGTTGAACGTATGTGCCCACGGGATGTTTGGAGAGACCTTGGAGTCTGAAGTGGGATTCTTTAAAAAAAAATTTTTATTGGGGGCTCTTATAACAATCAATTGTATCAAGCATATTTGTTACCTATGTTGCCATCATCATTTCAAAACATTTTCTTTTTACTTGAGCCCTGGGTATCAGCTCCTCTTTTGTTCCCTCCTTTCCCCTCACTCCCACCCTTGTGAACCCTTGAGAAATGTTATTATTATTATTATTTTCATATCTTACACCATCTGCTATCTCCCTTCACCCACATTTCTATTTGTCCCCCTGGGGGCTGGTAGACATGTTATACATTGATCATTTGATGATTCCCCCTTCTCACCCTTCTCCCTCCACCTTCCCTCTATCTTCATGGTATCACTACTCCCATTACTGTACCTGAGGGGCTTATTTGTCCTGGATTCTGTATGTTGAGAGCTCTTATATGTCTATTTTTGGGATTCTTGGGGACTTTGATACTTTGCTCTCCTTGCTGTTCTGTTGCACTCATGAAGTGGGATTCTTGGCAATAGCCTCAGTAGGGCATAAACTTGGACTTTGTGTCACCCTGAGTAATTATATGCCTACCCATTCGTTTCTAGCATGGGCTTGCCAGGGTGTCCCTGGATGCCTTTGGCAAAGGCACTGCCCTGAATGTGAGGCCCACCTGTTTGACCTTGGCCACATCCCTGATGAAAGCTTCATCATTGACCAAGGACAGCAGCTGCTTCAGTTGGCTCAGATCAGTCAGGAAACCCTCCCCGATTTTCTAGAAGAGTAAAAAGGACACATGTTTTTACCCCTTGCTGGAGATGCCTCCCACCCTTTCTGGCAACCCCTCAGGACGGCCCTCCTGTTGTGAAGGGCTGACCATGCTTACTTAGAAGACAACTGAACTGCCTAATTCTGCCCATGGCATCCTCACACTACATCTGTCACCATCGGATGCAGTGTCCCCACAAGGCCAGGTAGGCCCTGGGGCTTACCTCCACAATGATGTCAGCCAGCCCAGGGTTGCACAGCAGGAGCCAGCGGCGAGGTGTGATGCCGTTGGTCTTATTCTGGAACTTAGCTGGCTCCAGCTCATAAAAATCATTAAAACTAAAGACACAGAGCATGGATAACAGTCACAAATACTTTGTTCTGAACTTGGTAAGAAGCAGACACAATGACCTTTTAATGAGATGCCCTGAAGACCCTGAGGCTCAGTACTTAAGTTTCTGGGTTGTTAAGATGCTGCACATGTCCGAATGGTACTCAAAACGCCTGCTTTTCACAGCAGTCCTTACTTAGCTGTTATCTGTGCTGACTCCCCTCATAGTTTTAGAGTCAGGCCCCTGAAAACTACATCCGGTGGTCAACATGGACACAGCTTCCAGTCAAGACTGTGCAGGGTGTGCAGGCTTGAGGGCTGAAGAAGCCCAGGCTGAGTTTCCTCATTTGTAGAACGGGATATCCAACTCAGAAGTTTAGTCAGACAAAGACCCACCAGCAGCTTCTGCCCTTTCCACCCACACCAAAAGCCATAGCCTCACCAATGTTCCCTGCCCTCCCAATAGTGGGGTCCACACACAAGCATTCCAGACCCCAGGACCCTGCCTGAGCAGACCAAAGATACCAGGAAGGCAGATACGCTGTCTCTCTAGGGGTTGCACTGAGCCCATCACCTGACCTTGTGTGTATGGCAGGTGAGCACAGCCTGGGGAAGGCAGAGAACTCACACAGACTGCTTCACGATCTCCGAGTGGATCCTGGCCACTCCGTTGACGGAGTGGGACCCAATAACACACAGGTGTGCCATGTTGATCCTCTTGCAGTCCCCCTCCTCAATCACTGACATCCTCCGCAGGCGATCCACGTCGCCTGGGAATAGGGCCGCCACATGCTGTATGGAACACAGAGGGGAGAGCAGTCTCAGTGACTGCAGGTCCTAGGAGCCAAGAAAGTGGCCACAGCCTCACAGGCTCTGCTGGCCACAGCACCCACCCCGAACTCAGCCACTGAACACTGTGGCCCAGGATCCCAGAGAGTTCATTCAGGGCACCATGGAGAACCAAGGATAGGGACTCGAAGCTCGGTTCTGTTGGGTTGGAAAGGTGTGCCATTTGACTCAGGAGATAAAAGACTGAACTGCTGCCCATTTTAGCCCAGGCAGCTATTTCTTTTATATATGTAATCAGATATTGACTAGTGGAAACAGCTACTTTTTCCACAGAAGGTTTAAACTTGACTATCATTACAGCGGCCTCCTCGGTGCCCTCTGTTCTTGTTTCACTCTCCTCTCTGAAGGACACAGAGTGAAAACAGAGCTTTGTTTAACAAGCACACAGAGGCTATAGACTCTTCTAAAAAGCAGACTACTAAGTGACTCCTGCTCAGAGATGGAAAACATTTTTTAAAGGGCTGAATCACAAACTTCTGTACACAATGGGGCCTCCACAAGGAAACTAATAGTATTGCTGAATGACAGTACCCCCCACTGCACCCCTCCACCATCCCCATATTCTACAGGACATGGGCTGCTTCTCCCAAAGGTCAAATAATGCACCATGAGATACAAGGAGGGGCCCTGCCTTGTTCCAGCCCCATCCCTCAAAGGCAGATGCTTACATCGAGGTGCTTCTGGTTGATAGTATAGATGATGTCCAGGTGCCTTGGCAGCAACTTCTCAAACATGGATACAGGCCAGCGCTCCAAGGCCTCAGGCAGCACAGTGTGGTTGGTGTATGCACATGTCTTCTTTGTTATTTCCCAGGCCTGCCATAAAAAAGGGGTTGCTCGTGGGAACCTTGGTAATGCAATGATTATATGCTAAACTGCTAACTCAAAGGTTGGTGGTTTGAAGCCACCCTGATGCTCTACAGGAGAAAGACCTAATGATCTGCTTCTATAAACATCACTATCAAGGACATCCCGCAAGATGGCAGACTAGACACACATGCTACACAGACCCTCCACAACAAAGGCACAAGAGACCAAATGAAACAGATGCAGATGATAATACTGGGCACTGAGTTCTAGAGAAAGGATACAGAAATAGACCGAATACCAACCAGAAGAAGTTGAACAAAAACAGCAAGAAAGGATACAGACAGGTGAATCGTTGGCTGATCTAACAAGGCATGGACATCTTGAACTTTTATAAAGAGCATTTGATTGAGACAGTGGCCTGACAACATAAACACACCCCACTGATAAAAAGGTGGCTCTTCTCTTATTCCGCACACCCTCTTCATGACCAAAATTGTGACCAGCCCCACCTTCACCCAATCAGCAGCTGGTGAGACACACACCCCTCCCCATGCACCGCACCTCCTCTGCCTGAGGTGAGAACCATGCTATTCAGCATCAAGCTCCTGAAGCACCACTCCCCCTGGAGATGAGAGAAATTTGCCTCAACAGAACTGGATAAGAAAATGAGACCTATTGATTTGCTGCTTACATTTTAGACATCAAGACAAAGATGGTCTAAAAATCAAGGATAGGAAAAATATAGCAAGCTAATAGCAATGACAACAACAAAAAAAGCAGGAGTGGCAATATTAAATTCTGATAAAATAAAAAATTCTTAATCATTTTATTGGGGCACTTACAGATCTTATAAAAATCCATAATTCAATTTTATCAAGCACACTTGTACATATGTTGCCATCATCATTTACAAAACATTTTCTTTCTACTTGAACCTATGGTATCAGCTCCTCTTTTTTTCCCTCTCTCCCCCAGCCTCCCACCATTGTGAATCCTTGATCAATTATGCATTATTATTGAACAAATGAATTGTATGATAATTGGATTATGCACCAAAAAAACTGTAAAAAGGAAAAGAAAGAATAAAATGTTCTAAAATGTATTGTGAATCTTTTATAACTATTTTTAATATGATTGAACTATTGAATTGCATGATATGTGAATGATATGCTAATAAAATGATTTTTTTTAAATGCACAAAAACATGAGCTGACAGTTCACCAAAATCAATACTCAAATTGCTAATAAATACATAATAAAAGGATAACTAGCCATCCAGTGGATGCAAAGCAACGTTGAGATATCATCATATACCCACAATGACAGCTCCATTCAAAGCAACACAAATGTTAGGGAGGTTGTGGAGGGATTGGAACTCATCCACTGCTGCTGGGCTTCTAAACATGTATCACTATTGTGGAAAGCGATAGGTCTTACCTAAAAGGGTTGGGAATAGAAATTCCACATAACCCAGCAATATCCCTGTAGGGAATAAGCCTCAAACAATTAAGAGAACACAACATGAACACACACATGCTGTCCCATGTTCATCTCAGCACAACTCACAATAGGAAGAAGCTGGAAAAGTCCAATACCCACTAGTAGAAGAATGGATAAAGAAAATACGGAAGGGTCTCCTGGTGGAGACGAGCCAGTCAGGGTGCAGTATAGCACCTAGGAAACATACAACTTTCCCCTAGTTCTTTAATGCTTCCCCCCCGCCCCCCACTATCATGATCCCAATTCTACCTTAAAAATCCAGCTGGTACAGATAAGAGCTGGAAACACAGGGAATCCAGGACAGATAAACCACTCAGGACCAATAACGAGAGTAGTGATACCAGAAGGGGAAGGAGAAGGTGGGGAAGAAAGGGGGAACTGATCACAATGATCTACATCTAACCCCCTCCCTGGGGGATGGACAACAGAAAAGTGGGTGAAGGGATCATCAGACAGTGTTAAGACATGATAAAATAATAATAATTTATAAATTACCAAGGGTTTGTGAGGGGGGAGGGCCAAAAATGAGGAGCTGGTACCAAAGGCTCAAGTAGAAAGCAAATGTTTTGAGAATGACGATAGCAACAAATGTACAAATGTGCTTGACACAGTGGATGTATGTATGGATTGTGATAAGAGCTGTATGAGCCCCCAATAAAATGATTTTTAAAAATAATAAAATCCGGTACATACACAGAATACTATGCATCCTTAAAAAACAGTGATGAAACCATGAAACATATGACATGGATGGATTCAGAAACACCCAGGGGCAAATATTGTGAAAGACCACTACTGTAAGAATAAACACCTAGACAAATTCAGGCAGCTTTTCTCGGGTGATATAATCTTCTAATCTTCCAAACAAGGAGGGGTGTGCCTGCCCATGATGTGCATGCTCATGATGCACATGTCATCCCCATATTTTACATCTTAGTAATCACTTCAACAGAGGAGGTCTCAGCTCAGCTAGGGTCAGTGTCTCATGTTGGAGGGAGACAGAGAAGACCAATCAGTTCCTGCCACATAACATTGTTACCCTAAATCAACAGACACCTCTACAAGGGTGCTCAGTGAAACAATGAAAATTCAAGTCCTTATGTGTGTGTTTGGTGGGGGGGGTGGGGTTTGGGAGGGGCAGGTCTGTCTTAAAGAAGGTAGTAAATCAGGTGGAGAAACCTGCCACTAAGTAAAACACTGAACATTGCTTATATAGACTCCCCATTACCTTTTTTTTAATTAAAAAAATTTTTTAATAATAATTTTATTAGGGGTTCATACAACTCATCACAATCCGTACATACATAATTTGTGTCCAGCAGATTAGTACATATGTTGACTTCATCATTCTCACAACACCTGCTTTCCACTTAAGCCCTTGGTATCAGCTCATTTTTCCCCCTACCTCCCCGCTCCCCCCTCTCCCTGAACCCTTAATAATTTATAAATTATTATTATTTTTTCATATCCCATTACTTCCATAGACTATAGCAGTGGTTCTCAACCTTCCTAATGCCACAACCTTTTAATACAGTTCCTCATGTTGTGGTGAACCCCAACCATAAAATTATTTTTGTTGCTACTTCATAACTGTTATTTAGCTACTGTTATGAATCATAATGTAAATATCTGATGTGCAGGATGTATTTTCATTGTTACAAATTGAACATAATTAAAAATAATTAAAGCATAGTGATTAATCACAAAACAATATGTAATTATATATTGTGAAATATTTATGTGTTTTCCGATGGTCTTAGGTGACCTCTGTGAAAAGGTCACTTGACACCCCCCAAAGGGGTCGCGACCCACAGGTTGAGAACCACTGCTCTATAGTCTATATAGTTTACCATTTCAGGAAGTATATGAGCACGAGCCAATGGTACTAAAGGAAGAAGTTCAAGCTATACTGAAAGCATTAGCTGAAAACAAGGCTCTAGGAATTGATGGGATACTAATTGAAATGTTTCAAGAAACTGATGAAGCACTGGAAGTACTTATTCATCTATACCAGAAAATTTGGAAAACAGCTACTTGACCAACTTACTGGAAGAAACCCATATTTGTACCCATTCCAAAGAAAGGTATGATAATTACAAAATTTCATGTCAATTTGAAGAAATAAAAGTAGGGGTGGAGTCTAGCCTGTCAATCAGACCACAGCCTGATGGTACCTCCTCGTGGGTGTGGCCCTCTCATAAAGAGCATCCTGGGAAACTCCCCACCTCTCTCTGCCTTCACCTTCCTGCTGGCTCATGGCCTTTATATTCACAAGACTTTGCACCCACTGGCCAGTGATACTACTGCATTCTGCATCATTGCTTGTGACTGTGTGTCTGAAGAGGGACTTATGGACTAGTATGGGATATATAGACTTTGAGTTGGATTGAGCTGGGATGTTTTCTTGAGATATACTTCTTGATATAAAGCTCTCTCTCTTACACATATAGGAGTGTCACTGAATTTGTTTCTTTAGTCAACCTGGCCTAACACAAAAGGTGACCCAACAGAATGCTCAAATTATAGAATATCATTAATTTCGCATGCAAGTAAAATTTTGCTGAAGATCATTCAACAATTGCTGCAGAAGTACATTGACATTGCTGCCAGAGGTTCAGGCTGGTTTCAGAAGAGGATGTGGAACAAAGGATATCATTGCTGACTTCACATGGATCTTGGCTGAAAGCAGAGAATACTCTAAAGATGTTTACTTGTGTTTTCAACTGTGTGGTTCATAACAAAGTATGGATAGCCTTGATAAGAATGAGAATTCTAGAACACTTGACTATACTCATGCAAAACTTGTACCTGGATCAAGAGACCGTAGTGAACAGAACAAGAGAATACTGTATGGTTTAAAATCATCAAAGGTGTATATCAGGTATTATACTCTCACCATACTTTCAATCTAAATCCTGAGCAAATAATCAGAGAAACTTGATTATATAAAGAAGAATGTGGCATCGGGATTGGAGGAAGCCTTATTAACTAACCACATGTGATATATAGATGATAGAATCCTGCTTGTCTAAAGTAAGTAGAACTTGGAGCATTTGCTGATGAAGGATTGCAGTCTTCAATACAGATTATAATTCAACGTAGAGAAGATCAAAATACAACTGGTCCAGTCAGAACTTCATGATAAATGGAAAAAAAGATGGAAGTTGTCAAGGATTTTAATCTTGCTTGTATCAGTGCTCATGGGAGCAACAGGCAAGAGATCGAATGATGCATTGCATTGGGCAAATCTGCTGCACAAGACCTCTCTAGAGTGTTGAGAAAGCAGGAGGTTACTTCGATAACTAATGTGTACCTGACACAAGCCATTGTATTTTCCATTGCCTCATATACATTTGAAAGTTGGACACTGAATAAGGAAGACTGAAAAAGAATTGATGCAATTGAATTGTGGTGCTGGCAAAGAATATTGAAAGTACCACAGACTGTCCAAAGGACAAACAAAAAAATACATCTGTAAGAAGTATAGTCAGAGTACTCCTTGGAGG